CTGCTCTCCCGGGTAATCAGCAATGCCCCAGTAAACACAGATAAGATCCTACCGGCCTTTCTCCTGCCAGGTTAGTTCCTCAACAACTCACCTGATAGCTCCAGGCGATGGCTGGATCCAAGGTGGTGCCCTGAGGTCACAGGGCTTTGGTGGGGGTTGAGATGTGTGGTTGTGGAGCTGCAAGCGGGCTGGGGGAAGGGGAGGAAAGCAAGGGACTAGGGGGTAATGAGCGCAGGGCTTGGATACTATCACCAAGAGGTGGGGGCAGGGCTTGGGCGCTGCTGGGGGTTTATGCAGCAGCACCCTGTGTGTTAAGGGTCACACAGGTGTGGGTTGCAGGGGGGTCACGCAGTGTAAGGTAGTCTTCGTTCCTCTGGGGTCTCACAGTCTTCGCTCCTCTGGAGTTCCGTGGTAGGTGGCTGACTGTTGTTCTTCCCGGGTCTCTTCCAGGCCCCTCTCGCAGTGGAACCCCGTCTGGCAGCGGCGTTCTCCCATCTGGCGGCGGCCGTTACAGAACATTTAAATACATTGATTACTATAGCTTTATTTTTTGTTCTGCATATGCCTCATATTTTAGTTTTTATACCAGTGAAGGTTTACAAATTGTTGGGGGCTTTTTATACATTCACGAACATTTTGTTTTATAACACTAATTGCCATTGATTTATGCAATTACAAAGTGCGTAGCCCAAAGATGGTGCCTCTCTGGGGGGTTTGAATTCACTAGAAACTCTTTGAGAGAAAGTGGGACACTCTGCTCAAGGGCCATTTATAGTCTTCGAAAACTTGCAGGAGGGTCAATTATGCGCCATTTCCAACTTGACAATGAGAGAGAAACACTTACAATGTTGTTGTTATGTACCATCGCATCAAAACAAACTGATAGCTAATCCTCAAATGGGTGTTCAGAGGCAGTAATTTGCATTGGAGCAAACTGTGCATCATTCTCCCAGCATATTTTACCCCTCTTTCTTTTCCCTCCCCCAGTTCACTTTGAAAAAAGATATTCATTCACGGTTGAACAATTACCCACCTCCCCTTCTCCCCCCAATCCTCCTTGCATTGATACACTCTTATTCTGGGCTGTTGTAATAAATATAATATCTAATGATTTATTTCTTTTAAAAGTTCTTTCCTTCATCTGTTCTCCATTTTCAATAGATAATCAAAGGATTTGGTCATTTGAAATGATACTCATGTTTTCTTCAGCAGAAAGAAAAAGAAAAGAAAGAAACAACCCTTATGTCCATTTATTCCAGATCAAAGGTTAATAAAATGTGACCCATAAACAACAGCCAACCCACAAGCTGATTTTGTAATAAATTTTATTAGGACACAATGGCAACACTCATTCACTTATAAATTTATTATCTTTCATACTACAGTGAGAGAGAGGAACAGTTGCCACAGAGATCTTAAAGATTCTAAAGACAAGACCGTTATTCTCTGACAGGAAAAAATGTCTCAATCTCTGTTCTAGATTGATTCATAGTTGTTTAAGCGCATTGGTTTAACATTGGGAAACTTAAGTTCTGCTTCTACTTTGGCTCATTCCCGTTGTCTCTGTGGCCTTGATATGTCCATTTATATAATGAGGAAGTGGGGGAGTGTATGGCTCCCAGTCTTTACAGCTTCAAAATTTCAGAAATCCAATAAACTCTTGTTTTTGTTGTTGTTAGGTTTGCTGCAGCTAACTCTGACCCATAATGACAGTAGACAGTGTGACAGCAGAACTACTTTTAAGGTTTTCAAGGCGATGATGTTTCGGAAGTAGATTGCCAGGCCTCTCTCCCAAGGTGCCTCTAAGTGGATTTGAACTGACAACCTTACTGCCTAGCAATCAAACGCTTGACCTTTTGCAGCATTCAGAGAATCCCAATAAACTCTACGATCTAAAGTTGATCCCCCGCCCCCCTTTAGAGGTTAATGTCACTATCTATAATAAGCCCTTTTGAGCACATTAGGCACTCTTCCAAATTTCCATACATGTTCAAGGTTATAAAAATAATAATACAGCTGGACTAGTTTGACCATGTGAAAGGTGTCAAGTGTTAAGGACCTAGGCAGGCACTTTACCTTATCTCTCTTAGTCTTCAAAATAAACTGTGCTAATTGGGTGTTAGTATTCACAGCTGAGAAAGGGGAATGCTGATCTACATCATCAGTGCTGTCTTCTTTCTGTCCTCTTTATTTCAATTCCATCAACTGAATATATGATGGTACAGTGTAATGTACAGTCAGTATCAACTCCCAGGACCTGACAGGACAAAGTCAAACTCCCTTAGAGGATTTCCAAGCCTGTGATCTTTAAAGGGGCAGGTGCTCAGTTCTTGTCTCCTGTAGAACTGCCACTGTGAGTTTCAGTTGTCGTCTCTGGTTCTCTCTGTCTCTCTCTCTCATTGCCATGAAGTCGTTAAGACTCATAGCTGACATTTCCATCTGGTTTCTGAGGCTGCAAATTACCCAGGAAGAGATAGCCTATTTTTCTCCTATGTAATATATTTGAAGTGTTAGCAGCACAACTCTTTACAGACTATGTTCCAGAGCTCCCTTTCTTCCAGTTAGCAACTGAATTGTTTAGCCATTTGCCACCTTAATTCCTTGAATATATATTATATATTGTTATATATATATAAGTGTATATATTAATATATTATCGTTGTTGTTATGTACCATCGAGTCAACTGCAGCTCATAGCAAACCTATGAACAGTAACTCTGAACCCTGCTCTATCCTGAGCCAATCTTACTCTCTCAGACACACCTGCCCCCATTTCCAGTCACAGTTTCAGTGCATTTCATCCAGGATCTTCCTCTCCTGAGCTGTCCCTTCTGCTCGGCTCCACAGTCAACACTCTTGGCACCAGCATCCAGGAAATCAAAAAGCGTATCGCGATGGGAAAGTCTGCTGTTAGGGACCTCTCTAAAGTACTCAGGAGCAACGGTGTCTCTCTGGAGACTAAGCTGCGCCTGATACAGGCCATGGTCTTTGTAATCGCTTGTTATGCATCAGAGAGTTGGACAATGACTAGGGAGGACAGAAGGAGAGTGGATGCTTTTGAGCTGTGGTGCTGGAGAAGAGTACTGAATGTACCATGGACTGCCAGGAAAACAAACAGATTCATCTTGGAGAGGATTAAACCAAGCTACTCCTTGGAGGAAAGGATTCTTGGGCTTCATCTGACATACTTTGGACGTGTTGCCAGGAGGGACGGGAACTTGGAGAGGGACATCATGCCTGGGAGGGTGGAGGGACAGCGCAGGAGGGGAAGATTGATTCAGTGACTGGGGTAATTGGGATGGGTGTGTCAGAGGCAGTGCGGTTGGCACAGGATAGAGCAGGGTTTAGGGCTGTTGTGCATAGGGTCACTATGAGTCGCAAACGACTCGACGGCACATAACAACAACAACAACAGCAAATATGTGATCCATTTAATTTGCTTATTGTTTACATAAATACAGTTTAAATAATATTACATATTTTCCCCAACTGCAGCCTGCTCTTAACCTCTTTTCTTAAGCATTTTCTTTTCTTTTTTTTTACAGTAACATGATTAGATAATTGAATGAATGATATAGTGTGTTTATAAAAACTTTGAGGGAGAAGCCACATGGCAAAAATATCTCTACCATATATGTTACTAATGCAAAAATGTGGTGTTTTAAACAAAATTATAAAATAAATTATTGCTTAAGTGTCATCAAGTTGACTTCAATTCCTGGCAATCCTATGAGTTACAGATCTGAATCATGCCCTATCCTGTGTCATCCTTACCATCTTTTTAAAAAATTTATTGATTTTCATATAACAATTAATTTAGATTGTGATTCATTCATATTCCAAAATAGAAGCTCACTTTGTTGTTCCGTTTTGGTGGTTAGTTTTGTTCCTCGTGGTTTGTTAATGACTTAGGCAGTGGCTATGTGAATCACAGAGTAGAACGGCTGCATAGGGTTTACTCAGCTGTGATTGTTATGAAAAGGAGCCCTGGTGACTCATAATCCAAAGGTGCAGAGAGAGAGGTGCATTGGGTAGGAGCATGTCTCTGCAAGGCTCATGACAACAGAGCCTCAGGAGGCATGACTGGGGCTGTGGGGACTCTAGAGTGGCTGGGTTGGGGCCTGGATCTGAATTAGTGCTGTGATAATGACGGTAGCAGCAGCAGCAGAAGCAACAGTCGCGGCTGTGGGGATTCAAGTCACAGGTAGGAGAAGGTCCATGTGAGCTTTGTGCTGTATTCGTGGGAGCCTGCTTCTCTGTGTATCCTTGTGGCATCTGCACAAATATGAACTCTGACCTGAGTGTTGGAACAAGAATTTCTGGCACTCAGGCAATAATGGTTTGCTTGTCAGCAAACGGTTACAGAATAAAAGCATACACATGAACCTTGCAATAAAGCATGTCAGGGAGTTTACAGAGTTCTTCAGAGTTTAGCATCTTTAGTTCTAAATGCTAAACATTGCCCAGGGGATATGCAAAGGTTAGAAAAAGACATTACTTTTAAAGATCATAGTAGTCAATGGAAAAGAGCACCAGTTTTAAATGACACTTTGAGTGACCCAAGAGTTAATGAAAAAGAGAATTTTCAAATTCAAGTTTTCCTTGCAGTTGAATAAACAGACATTCTGAATTATTTGCAAATCGTGAATCCACTTTTAGCTTCTTGTGTGACCTCTGCAAGTTACAGAAGATGTCCAAGGAAGCATTGAAATGCCATTGTGCAAATTGACACAAAATTAAACTGAAACTTCGACTAGACTTATTCATGGGAAGAGCTTAATACTTTTATTAGAATTGTTCCATACAATTATCAGCTCTAAAAAAAAAACCCTCACCAAAACCACCAAACCCAAACCTACTGCCAGCAAGTAGCTTTTGACTCATAGTAACCCTGTAAAACCCTGGGGCTGCAAATCTATAATGGGAACAGAATGTTTCATCTTTGTCCTGTGTAGCAGCTAATAGGTTTGAACCTGTGATACTTTGAATAGCCACCCACTAGAGCTCCTTTTATCACTTCTGTTGTTTTTAGATGCTGTGGAATGAAGTACAGCTCATAGGAAGGTGTGAACAAAATATCAGAACCTTGTTGTAACCGGCCTCATCCACACAATCTCTGACATGCTTGAGCCCATTTTGATCAGTTCTAGGACAACTTAAATTTGCATTTCATGTTAATTTAGAAAAAAATTTACCCTAATGTTATCTAAAATACTCATAATAGCTCCTATAACAGTTACAGCAGTCATCGTCTCCAAATTAAATGGACAGAAAAGAATAAAATTAGTAGAAATTGTTTTCAATCTCTTATTTTCCTACAGTGACTGATGTCTATTATTAAAAAGTATGTTGTGTAAATGATACATTTTGGTGATCTAAGAAATGAGTTCTCATAAAAACCAACAAGAAAAAGACATTTCGTGGTCAATCAAGATATTGCGTTAATAACATCATTACTTATTGTATTGAATTAAATTATGACACAAAATATTATTTCTGTGCAATGTGTAACTTTGTACTGTTCTTCATGTACTACTATTGATACTATTTTGCTGAATAAGTAACAGGATCATTTCAGCAGGAAAAAAAATACATTTTATTCTTTTTAATGGTACTCTCCACCCTCCAAATTATAAAGAGAAGAATACCAAGACTTAAGTTCCTCTTAAGGAAACAGAAGCCCTAGAAACCTGCTGACACCTTGATTTTAGCTTAGAAACTAGATTGATGTTGAACTTGTGACTTTCAGAATGAAACAATAATAAATGCGTGTTGTTTTAGTCTACCAAATTTGTGTTAATATGGTAGCACAGTGTTCTTGAGTGTTTGTATTAAAACTGTGACCTCGGAAGTCAAATATCTTAGGTTCTCATAAATAGCTCTAACATTATCAATTATGCTACCGTGGTGTTAAAGATTTGTTGTTCAAAATAGCTTTTCTAGCCATTCATTTTGACTTTACCATGTGGATAGGGGAGGAGAGTATGCTGATAGGGTATGTTAGCTTATCTACAGAGGGCTGGCTAGTCTTGCCTTTATAATGAGCAGATCCAGCAGCAGAATTTGAAAATCTCACCACCAGCAAAGAAGCAGCAAGGGAATGCAGTGCATCCTTCAGAGCCAGAGATTCTTGCACCAGCCAGGCCAGAGCCTAGAGGAGCAGCAGCCATAGCAGAAAACCAGAGACTTGATATGAAACAGATCAGACCTTGGGACTGCTACACCATGGAAGCAAAACTATGAGCCTTTGCCCAAGATTGCTGGAGGACTTAGGATGAGCACCTATTTGACAGGGCAAAGACAGAGCTTTGATGTCCTAGTGATAAGAAGCTGCAATGCAATTCCAAAGGCACATGGTTCAAATCCACCAGCTGCTCCATGAGAGGATTGTCAGTGTCCTTCTGTGCAATTTAATGCCTCTGAAAACCTGCCAGAAGGTTAGTTATGAGCTGGTTCCAACGTGATGACACACAACAAGAGCCTAAAGCCATGAGGCTGAAGGCTGAGGTGCCTGTGAGCCTATTTAAGAAGCCGTCCCAACTGCGTGATTGTGTCTGCTACTACACTTACAGCCTTTTGACTTCTCTAGTATGGTTCTGTGTGGTCTTTGAGCTATGGCAATGGATTTTGGACCCAGTAAAACAGTAAGATTGGTTTTGAGATGAGTAGAAAGATTTGGGGGGGTATACCTATCTTCATGAGAATTGGTTTTGTGTTGTGGGTGCTCTTAACAGGGACAGTTCCCTTTTGGGGAGTTGGTAAAGGTCAGATATGGCTGTTCTCATGTGGTCCTTGCTCTTTTTACAGCTACTTATATGAGTTTGACCTCATTCTCTGACAAAGAATGATACCACCTTAAAGATATGCTCCAAGGAGAAATGAACAGAAAGACCTTACTAAGTATTCACTTAAAAAAGTATCAGACATCTGATTTGGGGTGAAATATTTAGCAAGGCAAAGGACTTCCCTTCACTTTTATTCCTTCCTAGTTTATGATCAATATTGCTGCCCAAAATATAAAACATGCTAACTTTTGGTTGTTATGACCTTCATGTAAGTGCAACCTCACTTAGAGTCTCATTCTTTAGATTCTATCCTTTCCAACTTCTCATCCTAATTTTCTAATAGATTGTCACACATTGCACTGGGAAAAGGCTATACATCTGAGAGCTGGGCAATGAATAAGTATGACAGAAAATGAATTAATGTCTTTGAGCTGTGGTGTTGGAGAAGAGCACTGAACATCCCATGGACAGCCAAGAAAAGAAACAGATATGTCTTGGAGATGGTGCAGCCAGAATGCTCTTTGAAGGCAAGAATGGTGAGGCTTCTCCTCACATACTTTGGGCATGTTGCTAGGAAGGGGTATTTCTTGGAGAAGGTTATGATGCTGGGAATGGTGGAGGGTCAGTGAAGGAGAGGAAGACCATCAACCAGGTGTATTGACACAGTGACTGCTACAATGGGCTCTTGTGTGTCAGGAAGTGTGAGGATGGCACAAGATAGAACAGGGTTTAGATCTTTTATTCATGCAGTTGCTATGAGTCATACTCGACTTGACAGTACCTAACAACAACAACAATTGCCATCCAGTAAGCAAAGATATATAAAGTGATCTCTTTCAAGGTAGAGGTACTTGAGGGGCAAAATTTGCTTTCAGTTAGTAACAAAAAGTTTGGAGGGTCAAACCCATCTTGTGGCACCATGGGAGGAAAGACCTGACAGTCGACTTCCATAAAACAGTGCAGGGAGTTCTTGTTGCTTAGTCCATAACGAATTACACTGCTAACTCAATGGCTATACATACCTCTCTGGTGGTTCAAATCTACCAGCTATTCAATGTGAATTACAACCTTGGAAACCCAGTGGAGGGTCAGGCATGAGTGGAAATCAATTGAATGGCACTGAGTAAATGAGTAAATTACAATGATCACAGCTAAGAAAACCCTGTGGAGAAGTTATACTTTGTAACACAAAGGGTCAACATGAACTGAAAAAACACACCACCACTAACATCTCCCATGGTAAGGTAATAACCTATGATTATTTTGTCCACTAATGGTTTCTGCAAGGCTTTATGGTTTCTGTTGTGTTCTGGACTGTGCTTCTACACAGGACCTTCCTAAGACTTAGTTAAAGGAATAAGTAGTCTCTAGGAACAGTCCAAACAAAAATTGATGCCTTTGAACTGTGATGTTGACTAAGAATATTGACTATCCCAAGTACTATCGAAAGAACAAACAAATCGGTCTTGTTGGAAGTTCGACCAGGGTGCTCCTTGGAGGCAAAGACAGTGAAAGTTTGTCTCCCATGCTTTGGGCTTGTCAGGAGAACAAGTCCTTGGAAAAGGACATCATGCTGGGGTGGATGGAGACTCAGAAAAAGAGAACAAGGCCTTCAACAGGGAAGATCAATCCTATGACTGCAACAATGGTATTGAGCATGGGAGAGACTGTGCAGATGGCACTGGATAGGGCCAGGTGCTGGTCTGCCATTCATTGGGTCACTCAGAGTCAGAGTTGACTTAAAGGCACCTAACGACAATAACACAACCTCAAGATAAATAGATAAAATCCAAACTTGAAGAATTTAATCCGATAAAGCAGTGAGACCTTGACCAAACAAAACAACCAACACTGGAGGGCAATCCCTGTGATTCAGTAGAGAACCTTTGTTGTTTTCTTCCAAAGTGCCTTGGAGGGGACTTGAATTTTCAACTTTTCAGTGAGTAGCTGGGCACTTTGCCCCATGTAGAGATGCCAAGCTTTTCCAGGAGTCCTTCAAATTAAGCCAAACTTTGCAAAACAGCTGGCCTCCTGCTCTGTCTACTTGTAAATGACCCTGGAGTGGCGTCTATGAATGTTACTTAGGATGATAGTTGCTGAGATTTTTAAAAAACAAAATGTATTGATGTTCTTAAGACTAGAACAGTTTGGCACATGTGGCACTAACTATTTCAGAGGAACTTATCCATAGTCATCAAGAGTTTCATTTCAATCTGGGTGGCAAGTGAGAATTTCTAACAGAGATTATTAATTTGTAATGAAGTTAGCTAATGAAAATGCAAAAAAAAAAATATTACATAACACACGAAGTTAGGACTCTTAAAAATATATAAGAACTGCTTAAAATAAAACTGTCTGCATAAAAATGGAATTTGTGGAGTTATTGGTTATTAGGAAAATGTACAAAGTATGAATGAGTGTTCCATGATAGACTATGCTATGAAGATTCATAATTTTGTGTTTATTTTTTAAAATACAAACTTATTTTTAAAGAAGTCTGATTTTATTTTAACAAATGCTGAAAATATCTGCAGGTATTTTCAAATGGACAACTACCAATAAAGATATTTTATATTCACATTGTGAAGAAATTAAAAAAATAAGGAAGACCCTCAATGAAATGATTGGCTCAGTGACTGCAACAATAGGCTTTTTAAAAAAACTATTCTTATTTGCATACAATAATTTGTTTACATTGTGTTTCTTTGATGTATGTTGTGTTTTATACAGTCTTTCATTTACATTGTGTTTCATACAATCATTCATATACATTGTATTTTATATAATCAATTATTGTTGATCTAAGTCTCTTATTACACCATCTTTAAGTCTGCATGAATCTTTCCTATCCCTTTGCCCTCCATCCATCCATTAAACTCTGCTATACTAGTGACTTCCACCATTCTACTTTTCCCCATTTGTACATGTATACACATCTTACAACCCAGCAGGGCTTATGGGGTTGATACAGGATCAAGAAGGTCTCCTTTGATGTACATAGGGTTACAATGAGTCAGAACTGACTGAATGGCAACTAAAAACAGCATTACCCTAGTGAGTACTGCCAGATGTGTGAAAGCATTTGAAATCTGCAGAGTATCGCAAGAAGTCAAAATCAACTTGATCAGGGTTTCATTTTTTTTGCTTCGCTTCATCATGTGATCTCCCTCTGGTGTTTACTGTTAAGATTGACACTGGCTGTAAATAGTCCCCAGACTTTTCCCCTTCTGTGAAAACCATCAGGTTTTCAGAGGCTGTAAATGACACAGGAGAAGACTGCTCATCTTTCACCCCTGGAGCAGCTGATTAATTCAAACTTCCAGCCTTTGGGTTGGGAGCTCCTCTACTAACCTAGAACCACTGATGAATCCGAACCCAGAGAATCACCACCTTGGGATGACCAACATAACTCTCTATGAGCCAGAGCGCCCTACTATAGTTAAAGGAATTACACACTGAAGAGAAATAAATGATGATATGAGGGGACATAATGGTGCAAATTCCCCCCCCCCCAAAAAAAAACAAAGCACCAAGAAACAATAAGAAGAGTGAAACAACAGAAAAATGTGCAGAGGGCATTTTTAGGTATCAATTGTGAAATATTTTTCTTTTTCTGTAGTAGATATATTGGTAAGAGTCTTGGTAGTGTAGCGGTTAAAGAATTTGGCTGCTAAAGGTGAGCAGTTCAAATGCACTGGCCACCCGACTAGAGAAAAATGTGTCCATTTGCTCCTGCGAAGATTTAGAATCTTGGAGACTCTGCCTTATTGGGCCACTATGAGTTAGAATCAACTTGATGACAGAAACTTTGGCTTTAATGTCATTTTTTTTAAAAAATTCCATTTTGTTTGAATGAAAATTTAAAAATCACATTTTTGTTTTCTGGATAATAATTCATAGACATTATCACTGATTGTTCAAACTAACTTTTGTTGTTGTTGTTAGAATGAACTATTTTCAACATTTAAGCAAACCCTTACTGTGTATTACTTTTTCCCTGATCCACCTTCTCTGCTGGACTTCTCCCCTTTTTCTCCCACCTCCATCCCATTTAATCCATAGTGTATATCCTTTTTTAAATTATTAATTACAACACATACAATGTCTGTTTCTTCATTTCAGATTGACCTTCCTCTTACTTATTCCAATATAGGAATTATCTATCTACTCTTTTCCCACCCTCTCACCCTTCTCCTCCTCCCCCCACTGTAACCATCCTATTTTTATAATTGGATTTATATAGTATTTGTCCTTTTGTGACAAGTGTTTTACTCAGCATAATGTCTTCCAGACTCATCTGTGCTGGGTTTAGTTGTAATAACTGTTGGATGTGAGATACCAGACTTCAAAGTTGTTTAGTAATAGCACAAATCAAGTGATTTCTTGTTGTTGTTTGTCATTGAGTTAAAACTGACCAGTAGTGCTCGCTTCGGCAGCACATATACTAAAATTGGAACGATACAGAGAAGATTAGCATGGCCCCTGCGCAAGGATGACACGCAAATTCGTGAAGCGTTCCATATTTTTATGAAGAAGGCAGGGTGACTAAGGAGGTGGATGCTACATCTAAAGAAGCCAAATCTTTCTTCAAGCAAAATGAAAAAGAGAAACCACAGGCGAACTCCCCTTCAGCTCTCCCCTCGCTCCCTGCAGGCTCAGGGTTAAAGAGACCAAGTGGCATGAGCAGTCTCCTGGGGAAAATCGGAGCCAAGAAGCAGAAAATGAGCACCCTTGAGAAATCCAAGTTAGATTGGGAGAGTTTCAAGGAGGAAGAAGGAATCGGGGAGGAGCTGGCCATCCATAATCGAGGGAAAGAAGGGTACATTGAACGGAAAGCTTTCCTAGTCCGAGTGGATCACAGGCAGTTTGAAATTGAGCGAGACCTCAGGCTGAGCAAGATGAAGCCCTGACGTGATGGTGGAAGACCAGTCGCCGCACAATCCTGCTGACAATGTGACGTGTTCGGCCTTTCGCACCCAGGTTCCCCAGCAAGCTCCTTTTTCTACATCATTGTTCTGCCCATTTCTCCTGTGGTTTCATTCATTTTTACTTTTAAAAGTTTGTCCTAAAAAAAAGGAAATAAAAATTGACCGTGTAAGAAAAAAAACAAAAAACAAAAACTGACCAGTAGCTGACCCTCCAGTGGGCTTTCGGAGGTTGTAAATCACACAGGAGGAGATTACCCATCTTTCTCCCATGGAGCAGGTAGTGGCTTAGAGCCACCTGCTTCTGAGTTGGCAGTACATCTCTTTACCCGCTGGACCACCAAAGTGTCTTAGCAAAGAGAAGTCAGAATCTCCACAGCCTCTGAGGGAGTGGGGGCTCTCAGATGGCTGGAGTCTCCTTTGTGCTCGCCTCTGAGGACTATGTGCTGAGCGTGGCTGCCATCTTGTGATCCTCTTTAGAAACTGCGCTTGTCCCATTTGGCAAGTGGGAGAGGAAGCACTCTTCTCTGTGGTGTCATCACCCGGCTCTGAGCTCAATTCTTCCAATCCAACTACCATGGTCTGTGCATCCTTTCAGAAAGCTTCCCAGGATTGAGCACATTAGTCTTATAAGTAGAGTATCTTTTAGAAGATACTATATTACTGCTCAAATCATAGTTTGTGTTTATACTGATATGTACATCTTTTTAAAAATATTGTAGTAAAATTGCTATAATACTATTTACCTCTTACCCATCACAGCTCTGGTGGTCTGGCGGGTGAGGAGCTATGCTGCCAACTCACATCCACCAGCAGCTCTGTGGGCAAAAGATGGACAATCTCCTCCCTTGCGATTTATAGCCTGTGAAAACCCAGTGGAGGGTCAGCTATGAGTCACTTTCAACTTGATAACACATAACAACAACAAATTTAAAATTCTGTGACATGTGACATTAATTGCATTTACCACACTGTGCCACTATCACCAGTATTTCCCTAAACTCTTTCAGCACCTCAAATAGAAACTTACAAGCCCTGAGCACTAAATTCCATCCCTACAGTCATGGGTCATCACGTACCTCTTCTGGTGTCTCTGTATTTGCCTTTTCTAGATCCTTCCTATACATGGGCTCATGGGCTTTATCGGACTTCCTTCACTTAGCAGAATGTTTCCAAAGCTCATTTATGTTGTTGTTGGTTTATGTATGATCAAGTCAGAACCAACTCCTAGGTGATTCTCCAACATTTGTAGAGGCTGTTTATTGCATGAGAGATTGCCTTTCTTCCTCCTGTGGTGGATTTGAACTGGTAGATTTGAACCACATGCCTTGGAGTTGGCAGCAAAGCTACCAGAGGTCGCTCCTGTAAAGCAAGTATTACAACCTCATTTCTCTTTGTTCTTAAATGATGAATAGTCCATTGTATGTTTATGTATGTACCTCATTTTGTTATCCATGCATTAATGGACACTTGGATCATTTCCACCCTTTGGCAACTATGAATAAAAGGAAGCATAATTTTTGACTCTGTTATCTCCTGTGATATTTTTATTTCTTTCAGTGTCAGAGCAGCCTGTCTCTCACTCGATTCAGAGCTTCAAACCAGATTACTTGTATACACATTTCTAGAAACTTGAGCTTCCCTTAACTTCTTCTCTGCTGTTACTTGTCTGATTTTGTACCTCCTTTTTGAACTGCTTCTTGTTCACAAGGGATGTTGTTCCTGTTTACCTCTGCAGAGGGACATGTGAAGCCTGTGAAGATTCTGGGAGAAAAAAATAGATTCTATTTTCCCCTCCGCTTCAGAGCTTTTGGGTGTCATGTACTAAACCCTCTCGTCCACCAGGCTGGCAGCTGAGGCTCTGGAATGCAAGTTAATTAAATTGTGCTTATATTTAGTTTTAGGCAAGGTTGATTTTTTTTCCATGTTAGGTTTAGTCTGTGTGGCTTTGTTATACACAATCCCGGGAACTCGGGGTAACTATGGATACTTTGGAAGATTTTATATTAGCTGCCCTGTGAAAGGCATGCGGTGGTAGGGTAGGAAAGGCAGCATGGGAGAGAAGAACGCTATGTTCCATGGGCATATAGGTCATTTAACGGGGCACAAATGATTTAACAGCAAAAGTATACTTTTCCTGGAGCAATCAACTTCCTTTTCTGTCCGTGAGGCCAAACAAAGATAGCAGTGCTCATGCTAGGTATTGCTTTACTGGCTCCTGTGTGTCTCTTCAGGATAGCTTCATTTGTTTGCTTTTGTTTTTTCAGTTATCTTGGTCATTTCAAAGAGTCCATCCCCCCCCCCCCTCGCCTCTTCTTACTTAAACAGTCAGGGGAGTATTCTAAGTGCTGGGGAGTGAAGAAATCTAGTTAAAGCAGGTTAACACTTTAGGCACCAGGCATTTTTCAACACTTTGTAATGGTGATCTAGCAGATTGCACCAAACCTTATCTCACTTGTTTTCAAGTCTCTTGTATTAGAAGACCCAGGATGGTACTCTGGGCTTGGCTGCTAAGTAAAAGATTAGAAATTTCAGCCTACACGGGGTGCCTTGGGGGAAAGGTCAACAATAGACTTTAAAAAAATCAGCTGTTGAACACCCATTGGAGCTTGCTCTGGAGTCCTACAGCTCTACTCTGTCACATGTAAGGTTGCTAAAAGTTGACGTTGTTGTCACAGCTATAAGTAATAAAATTATGCTGTTTTTGTTCTGTACCATCGAGTAGGAACCAATACATAGCTGACGCTCCGGGGGTTTGCAGAGGTAGCAAATTGCATAGAAAGAGCTTATCCATATCCTTCTGGTGGATAGAACATTATTGTTGTTATGCACTGTCAATTCGCCTGCGACTCACAGTGACCCTATATACAACAGCCCTAAACTCTGCTCTATCCCATGCCAATCTTATTGTCTCCAACACACCTATCCCCATTACCCTGGTCACTGAATCAATCCATTGCATCGAGGGTCTTCCTCTCCTGTGCTGTCCCTCCACCCTCCCAAGCATGAGGTCCCTCACCAAGGACTGATCCCACCTTGCAACTTGCCCAAAGTATGTCAGACAAAGCTTCAGAATCCTTGCCTCCAAGGAGCAGCTTGGTTTCACTTTCTCTAGGCCAAACTTATTTGTTCTCCTAGCAGTCCATGGAGTCCTAGCAGTATATTCAATACTCTCCTCCAGCACCACAGCTCAAAGGCATCAATTCTCTTTCTATCATCCCTAATAATTGCCCAGCTTTCTGATGCATAACAAGTAATTTCAAAGATCATGGCCTGTATCAGGTGCACCTTAGTCTCCAGATTGACATCATTGCTCTTCAGTAGACAACATTAAAATGTTGCTATTTGGTCCCATTGAGTCAAGTACAAATTATAGTGATCCTATAAACAACAGAGCTGAACTCTCCTGTCCCATCCTTATCATCTCTCACACACTTGAACATATTGTTACAGTCACTGTGTTAATCACTCTAAAAGAGAGAATCTTCTTTTCTTTCACTGACCCTCAACTCTTCTAGCATAATGTCCCTTTTCAAGGAATAGCCTATTCTAGCAGCATGTTTAATGTATGTGAGATGAAGCATCTCCATTCGTATTCCAAGAAGCACTCTGGCTGCACATTTTCCAAGACATTTATTTGTCCCATGGGATATTCAATGTTCTTTCCCAACACTAAAACTCAAAGGCCTGAATTATTCATCTGGCATCCTTATTCGTTGTCTAGTTCTCAGATGCACAGAAAGTGAAGGGAAAGACCAAAGCCTAAATCAGACACACCTTAGTCTTCACACTAGCATCATTACCCCTCAGTATTTGGAGAGGTCCCTGACAGCAGACTTGTTCGATGCAATGCATCTCTTGATCTCCTGACTGCTGGTAAGAAAGGTGTTGATCATGGATGTAAGTAAAATGAAATCGTTGATAGTGTTGTTATTGTTGTTACATGCAGTCAAGTTAAGTATGATTCTACAGCAACCCTGTGAACCACAGGCTTGAACCCAGCCCTATCCTGGGCCATCCCCATCATCTCTGACACACTTGAACCTGCTGCTGCAGTCGCTGTGTTAATCCATCTCTATCATCCTGTCCTTCACTAACTCTCCACCTTTCCAAGCATGATGTTCCTTTTCAAGGAATACCTCACCTACCTATATGTCCAAAGCATGAGAGACAAAGCTTTACCATACTGACCTCCAAGGAACATTCTGGCTGCACATATCTATTTGTTCTTTTGGCAGTCCATTCAGTACTCTTCTCCAGTACCACAACTCAAAGGCATCAATTCTTCATCATCCTTATTCATTGTCCAGCTCTCTGATGTGGAGAAGGTGATGGAAAAAACCAAGATCTGAATTAGGTTCACTGTGGTCTTCAAACTGACATTATTGCTCTTCAGCATCCTGGAGAAGTCCCTGACAGCAGACTTGCCCGATGAAATATATATCTCCTGATTTTCTCACCTGTGATTTGACGGCACTTAACAACAACAACAGTACCAACGAAATTGATTGTTGATATAAGCAACATGGAATCAATATCAAGGACTTTTCAATCCTTTCTCAATCTGTTATGATGTTTACTGTTGCTCATGTGGTTAGGACCTTTGTTTTCTTGATGTTGTGTTTTGAAAATCACCTGATAAACATTGTAGGACCTGCAAAACACTAATTGATTTGAAAAATAAAGTTTTTATATCTATCTTAAAGCAAATTCATAAAAGCACCTCCCAAAACTTAATTTTTTGAGCTATTATTTCTGAATTTAGAAATTTCTGCTTGTCCTCTCCAAGGGGTAGACTGTCAGCATACAAAATCTAAACTCCACATGTTCTTAAGACATTTGAAGCTTTTGCATTTATTCAGGAAACGGTAAGTAACAAAATCTTTGTGTACATCTTGTTAGTTAATGATTTTGACAAAATTTAGAAAATTTTGGGCCTTTGGACACTAAAACTTGAATTATTATACTGGCTTATGTTTTATTTA